CTGCGAGGCAACAGTGCTAACCACTGCCCCACCTTGCAGCCTGGTGCTAATACCAGTAATCTAAAAATAAGAGTGCCATAAAAACAACATATAATCATTCATTAATAAATATCTGTATCATGTGTTCATTGGCAACCCCAGAATTGAATGTCACAAAGCTAAAAGCTATACAGATAGGACAATGTCGCTTTAAGCACGAAAACATCAGATAAACACATAACTGAATCATATTAGAAAAACTAAGGCTTAGAAATTCCTTGAATTATATCATAGAGTATATAAACATTTTGAGGTGTATTTCAGATGTGGTAGGACATTCATTTTATCAGTCCTAAATGAAATTCATAGTTGAACTAACATTATTTTACAGTTGCTCATAAAAACCTTTATGAACTGAAAGTATTGTGTTGGGCACAGGCTTTGACTAATTAATGTCAGTCATGATAAAGATGGCTGATCTTATAAAAAAAAAAATCAAATACGTTAATAAGTTGTTACCATAAATTATAGGAATGATTTTAAATTATGAAATTACTATTTGAAATATAATTCTTTCCACACAGACTATGCATTCACACATTACATGTTCACTAAGGAAAACATAGCTGTACAGATTTTTCAGTTACTGATCCACCACATATTTACCATTTAAACTCTTAGGTCTGTTTATATTTTTGTGATCTGAACTGGCATGCCCTGCTTTTAATTGTCCTGTGTTTCACTGACCACTGCGTCACCACTGTGTGCAGGTTCGCGTTGAGAAGAACATCACAGTGACGGCAGACGGCATCGAACTGCTGACCTGCGTCCCTCGAACAGTGGAGGAGATCGAAGCTTTCACGGCCGACTCTGCAAAACCCTTCAGTCCAGTTATCAACAGTGAGAAATTCTGATGATAACCATCAGCCAAGTCTGAGCTGGATGATGCGACTCTTTAATTATGGCAGATACTCTGTAGTTAAACTCAAGTTATTATTTTTGTTCTCACTGACACATGTCTTGTGAAAAAAAAACCCTCATCCATCCATCCATGATCTATACACCGCTTAATCTGCACTTAAAAAAAAAAGAAAAAAAAGTGTTCTTACGCATACATATACTCATATTCATGATTTCATGCAAAACTAAGTTAACTCATTAATCATATAGGTATGTTAAAATTGTAAAATAATAATAATAATACAGTATTGCAGAAAACACTCCACCTGAAAATGCAGTTGAACGCCTGAAATCTAAAACGAAGCAAAGACAGATGTTAGTTACAGTCAAACAACAACTACTACTGAAGAATCCTGTTATTATAGTGCTATATACTTAGAGTGTATAGTAATATAGCATATTAAAGTATTGTAATTGTTCTTGCTCATTGCTCTTCATTGCTCTTAGTGAAAATTTTGACTTGGAACATGGAAATAACAGGGACCAGAGGCAAAAAAGTGCAATTAATACATAAAGTATGAACATGTAAGGACAGAAAAAAGGGTCAAGCCAAGGATTAGGGAATAAGAGGTAATAGAAGTTGTATAAATTGGATTTCGAAATAGACTGCAATAAGTTTTGTTTTTTTTGGTTATTAAGAAATCTGTTAGAAGTTTATGGTTATGATGATGTTGTCAAAAGCCTAACAGGCAACATAAAACAGTTTCCTGTTCCAGCAGCAGCAGCAGCCAAAGTGGTGTAGTCTTTGTGTTTGTACAGCTGCATATTCTGTCATGTCTGCAATGTTGCGAAAATGGAGGGAAAAAAAAAACATTTCCAGTCATATTTTGACACTTGCAAATGTAGCTTATAGCAGTGGAGTGCAAAAAAAAACACAGATTTTATATTACAGGTTGGACAAATTACACTCACCAAACAAGTTTTGAGGTGTTCAGTTGTGGTTCTGTGAGCTTTTACTGTCTGTTTAGGGCATCAGATCCTAACTCTAACCCTAACACAAACACAAAGTAACCCTAAAGAACAGTGACAGTGTGTGATCTTGGTACCCAACACTTTTTTTGTTTTTTCTTTTCTACAGTCAGGAAAATGAACGTGCAACAATAATTATAATCATGGTTTTAATTCCTTGAGTCAATGATTTCAAATTTTACATTTCACTAGTCTAAAAATATGCCTTAAAAAAAAAAATCATTCGACACAGATGGAGGTACAGCGAGATGAATCAAATGTAAAAATGAGACCCTTTGTTTGCTGTAACTTGTTCTGACCAAGCACCTATCACACATGCTGATATGGGCCTTAAAAGCTTTCTAGTGAATTATAGAAAACAGACAATACATGCAGGATATCAACGTCTGTTTGTATTACACTATATGTATTATTGACAGTAAACTAGTGTTGTATTGCTACTGAAACTTTGATATACTCCCTGACACTGATGTTTCAAGTGACTTGTAGAAAAGTCATACTGAACATGACAAGGATTTTGGCTTTAGATTATGACAAGTGAAATGTATAGAAAACTGATTTGGTAGCAGTTTTTAACGGCGCTCAAATGTGAACATTTTACGTAGTTATCTCCTGTAATTTTGAAGGTAATAAAAAAGGCTAATAATAAGTAATACAACCTAAAAGTAGCAAAATATCAACCCACACCTGAGTCCCACAGAGGCGATACAGATATCCTCTCTAAAGCTATTTCAGTAAAAATGACGGAAGACAATCTCAAACACAGATGATAGAGTTTAGTCATCAGTGCACTGCAGCTTCAAGGTGGAAATGGTCTGTCAGAGTTGACTGCTTATCTCACTCATGATGTCTCCTAGCATATAAAAAACACCAGAGACATCGACAACGTAAAAAGCTTGACTTTTACCAGAGAGGCTCTTTAAAATAGTAGATGCTGAAGCTAAAATATCAGTGTCAGTCAGCTTCTTAGTACAAATGGAAAATGCGTAAATGAAACTCCCAAAAAGTGCTGTAATAAAATAGCACACCTCGACAGTTAGCTCTCCTTTAAATCAGCTGTAATAAATAAATCTACAATGCTTTGGGATACCATATGTTTATTTGACTATGCTATATACTGCATATTCTTACATTTATTATCACTAAAATGAGTAAAAAAAATAAGCAATGTAATGATTTTGTTTCAAAGAAACAAACATATCAATACAGCTTTGCTAGTTTTGACATCTTACAATAGTAAACTGTTCTTAAGTGGTTCTGAGGGCGTCAAAAGAAAAAAAAATCCACATCACATTTTTTCCGGATGATTAAGATGATGACTTTGCACATTCTGCAACATCCAACTTCCTGCCGCTGCTGCACATTCTTGCCAAATTCTGTGAGAAGCAGAAAGCAGAGTTAGTGCCTCAGAAACTCTTTGCCCTAGAAGAAGTTCTGCTAAATAAACCTTACATTAGCAGCTCTGATGATGCTGTTTGGAGACTGTAGGGCTGCAAGGTCTGTTAGGATCCTCTGAAGATCACTGTTAGATGGTTGTTCTGAAACAGATGCATTAATCATTGTCATGTGGGGATCAGCAAAGTTGGCTTCTAACTGGGAAAAGTTAGAACTGCTGTGAGTGTGAGTGTACCTGGTTCTGGTGATGTTTGTGGCTTCAGCTGCAGGTAGTGATGCTCCAGCAGCTCTGCAATAGAGATTCTGTCTCTGGGGTTTCGTACCAAGCACCTCTGTTAAAAGCAGATAATAAAACCCAGATTATTTAGTATTCTACATCACTTCAGAAACACGTCTAAATTAGTGATGCTTTTAATCTGTGGACTTTAAATATTCTACATAACCCTAGTTAAACCTGTGATGTGTAGAAGTCTTATTAGTAGAAGAGAATATGTTTAAAGAGACCAGTCATGTTAAAAATGCTAATCTAAACCTGACAACAAAATGTTTTCTGTATATTTTTAAGAAGGTAACAATAAAGTGGTTAACTGTAGTCATCATTGATCGTTGATTATTGACAATTTTTAATGAACTATTTTTAAAATCCCTCTGCAGAGACTGACACAATGATTTTAAGGGGTTCAATCAAAGTCGTATATATAAAACTTTTCTTTTGTGAACATAAACCCCTTCTGTCTTAACATTAAGACTGTAACAACTGCCGCATCTTCTGTACAGTCCTTGCATCTCTCCCCACCCACTCCTCCCCTTTTGGTGCAACTCAAACACACCAGCTCACCTACAACTCTCCTCTACATAACGGCAAGCTGCATTGTTGGAGTAATTCCAATATACATGTCATAGCCAGGTCATAGCAAGGTGGATCGGTGGTTAGCACTGTTGCAAGAAGGTTGCCGGTTCGTGTCCTGGGATCTTTCTGTGTGGAGTGCATGTTCTCCCTGTGCAGCGTGGGTTCTCTCTGGATTCTCCGGCTTCTTCCCACAAGTCCAAAAAACATGTGGAGGTTAATTGGTGATTCTAAATTGTCCGTAGGTGTGAATGTGAGTGTGCTTGATTGTCTGTCTCTAAGTGTAGCCCTGTGATAAACTGGTGACCTGTCCAGGGTGTCCCCTGCCTTCACCCTAAGTCAGCTGGGATAGACTAAAGCCCCCACGCGACCCTAATGAGGATTCAGCAGTGTACAGATAATGGATGGATGGATGGATGTTGTAGCCAGAAATCAATTCAGCAGTAGAATAGAATAATGACACAAAGCTCCACCCTGCAAGTTGACAGAATTGCCTCCTTGCAAAATTGATATTTGGTTTCACATTACTAGTACAGTCCAGTTGTGGTCTCTCACCTTCAGCACATCCAGCAAATCCTTCTCTGAGATGTCAGGAAACTCGATCTTATGAGAAGGATCGATGATGGCGTGCAGCTTGGTTATCTGATTGGTGATGGTTTGGAATGGAGTCTTCCCATATGTCATGCAGTACAGTATGCAGCCAAGCGACCACACATCACCTTTAGGACTTATCTGCGGAACAAAATTAGAAAAGGTTTTTCACTTTCTACTGCAATTGGAACATTTTTGCACTGTATAAAATTTTTGCACTGGGAAAAGTGAAGACAAGAACCTTTGAGCGTGCTTTTCCTGCCTGGGACGAAGTGTCTTTGATGGCCTCAGGGGGCATATAGTTCAGGGTTCCTACCTGTGTTTGACAAACCATGAGGAGTTAGACATGTGGAGCCCTTTTCACTGGATTCATCTGCATCTCTTCTCTGAACTAAGGTAAAAACATTATGCAGATTAAACTGTATTTAAACCTGGAACTTAAATTAGGTTAGCTTTTCAATACCTCTCCTGTGAATTTACAAGCAGGGTAACTGCAAAAATCAGTTTTGTATGTTTTTGGTACTGAATTTGACAAAAAAAAGGTATTGGATCAGTATTGCTGACACCATCTAGCACAATGAAAGGGATCCAAGGAGACATTTGGGGTTACGAGGACAATAAAATCCTACGCTTACATTATTACAAGAGGACACATTTTTCTGCATTGAGTACTTTTACTTTGAATACTATTGGACATTTTCCTGAATATACATACAAAATTTGATTTTAAGGAACATTTACATTTGCTAGAGTTTTACAATTCAGCATTGCAACTTTTACCAAAATACAGGTAGATTTCATTTATTTATTCTGTAACTCTTCTACAATTCAAGTACGACTTACTTGCGAATCCTTCATAATGCTCGTTACATCTGGTTGGATTCTGTTTGCGATGCCGAAGTCAATCAATTTCAGTGATGCATTCACAATGACAAAGTTTGCTGGCTTTAAGTCACTGTGGACAATTCCTGCACAGAACATATATCAAAGCGGCGGTTAGAAACAGAAGATAATTCACTGTGCTACCTAATGAACAACACTGAAAAAAATGAGGGAACTATTTTGAGAGCCACAGAGGGAAAGAACCGTGTTTGTGGATGGTATGAACGGCCTCCAGCATGTTCTTCCAGTAGTACTTCCTCTCCAGGGGGTTCACAGTTTTGCGATTTCGCAGCCAAATGTTCAAATCCAAGTTACCACATTCCATCAGCATATAGATGTAGCTGTTGGTTATTTCACTGCAAACATAAACGAAACAATTGAGACATTGTGGCAGATCCACATTACAAGCAAACCTGACATACTGTACATTTACACATTAAAAATGCGTATACAGAATACATCTATGTATTTCTGTGCTGCTTAAACCCTGACTTTGACTGTACAACATTTGGTATAAAATGTACTCACTAGTCATAGAGCTTTATAATTTGATCGCTGTACTGTTGCAAGTGGTTCAGGTGTTCAATTTCATTTTTGTAGCTTTCTATTGTCTGAGCATCAGCTTCCTCGAGGTCGACGTATTTCACAGCAAACATCTGCTTTTTGTGGTCAAGGACCTGGTAGACCTGGAAAAACAGAAAACAACAGTCATACTGTGATGGTTAAAAATGACATCAAACATCAACTGGAACTCTGGACCATGACGAATAATGTTTATGGCATCACAAGAACTCATCAACAATATTTTACCTTGCTCGATCCACCACGTCCAATCATCTTGAGGATGAAGAACTGCCTTCCCTTAATGGTAATGGATTCATTTGACAACGCACTGAGGGAAGTCTAAAATGAGATTTGAACAAAGACTTATTTTGTCATTATAGTTCAGAGTGATTTTTAGACCCTAGAAAACAAGAAAAAAGTAGCTGTTAACATGTCAGTTTGATTAGAAATCACTTGGTGCACTTGGCTCTATTAAAGTGATTGTTGTCTGTTAAGCTGACGTGGTTAGTATGGGCAAAACCCTTTTCTTAAGGATCATGCATTATTCAGTACATACTGTATGTCCTTTGAGTGATAAAAATGAATGCAATGTACTTGCATGCAGGTTAAAAACAAAAGTAGGACATAAAAATGCAGCACCTGTGGAGTCTGGACACACATCGACTGGTTTACAGGCGTGCATGGCTGCTGAACAGGTCCAGCTCTGTGTGCTGCTACTGCAGACGAAGACATTTCAGGACCTCTCTTTACAACAGGAGTAATGAAGCTGAGGAGGAGACAGATGGAGATATGAAGACATGTGACTAAAACAGACAGAAAAGAAAACATGGAATGCCTTAAAGCACTATTTTTGGCAGAGCTATTGACGTAAGAACTTAAGTGATTTTGGTTATTATCAAGAAAACCATTGAACATGGCTAGATATCAGCTCCTAAATTAAACTCTTATGAGCTATTTTTGTTATCATTATATTTGTCCAAACAAATGTACCTTTAGTTGTATCAGGCATTAAAATGAACAAGAAATTGAAGAAAACAAGGGTAGTCTAATAGTGTTTTCCATGACTGTGTGTTGGCTCTACTAGAATTAACATTTAATGGAAGTTCCGACAGATTACAATAAAACGCATGATGATTTAAGTGGGTTGTCTAAAGGAAACTGACAAGACTATTGTTATTATTAAGACAAATAATCAACAGGAGAATTCCTTATACTTTACTTAGATATTACCTGTTAGCACTGGGGTTTCTGTAGTTATTAGGGGTCTGGCAGACTGTTTGCGGGTTCAGTCTAGGTGGAAGTTGTAGGGACGGAGTGCGGAAAGACTCCACCAGACGGGGAACAGGTCTGGGGTCAGGAGGTGTTGTCTGTTTAACCTTAAAAAGAAAAAGAAAAAAGGTTCAAGGGTATGGTAGGATGGTTGATAGTGGATCATGTTGGAGCTGATAAGTGCTGAACAACAGCTATAATTATCATAACAAATACAACACAGAAGAGAGAAAAACAATTGAGTCCATATACAGACTGATAGAAAATGAGAAAACAGCACATGGCTGCACTGACAGAGTACTGGCTCTTGTGTTTTCTTTAGGGAGCAAGACAGATAAAGTTGCAATCCAATACATATTACATTTTGTTTCACAAAAGCATTGTCTTTGTTAAAATCAATAAGTCATGTAAATATGGCATATTTATTTACCAGTCATTTCCACATAATTACTTCCAATGAGATCAAAAGCTCAATCTATACACTCAAGCATAAATCATACTTAAGTTCAAATCAAATCAAAGCAAATCAAGTTTATTGTCATTTTGCTGTACATACACAGTAGTACAGGCAAGATGAGAGAGCGTTTCTTCAGGATCATTTAGTTAGTAAATTTTGCGGAATGCACATCTGGGATGAGACACTAAACGTTCACTCTTGCTGTCTACCGAAGGGGCCGCTGCGTCCATGCACGCCGCCATAAGTTAATAGTTAATAATAAATTAACCCAAGACATCAGATATTTAATAGGAGCTGCACGCTACTGTGTCTCATATTACACAGGCCAACATCAGCTGGCACATAAAAACAGTGGACTAAAATTGCAACATGTCATTCTGTAGTAACTTAGAAGCAGTAGATCAAGAAAGCCAACAGACCTCTGGAGAAACGTGACGGTTGATAAGAGTTGGTATCTTCCACTCTGATAAGGGCTCCTTGCTGGCAGGTTTAGGCTGTTCAACTGAGCGGTTCACAGGGACCCGAGTAGGAAGCTGCACTTCCTGGTTCCCCTCACAAGTGGGCATTATTGGAGCACTTGGTGGCACATCTAAAAAAAAATGTGGGGAAAAAAAAATCTCATATATGTTACAGTAAAACCAGTGCAACTATGCAAGGAATCAGCCTTTAATGAAACTCTACCTGTGGACGGCTCCTCGTCCTGGATGGGCACTAGCTGCTTTTCCCCAGCTTTAAGGTTACGTATGGCCATGTCCAAGAGCTCAGCTGGCCTGGCCTTCAATGCCTGGGCTTTGTGCAGAATTGACGTTGCTTTGATCACATTACCTACAAGAAAGAAAGGAGTAGGAAAAAGTTCATATTAAAAAAAGCTAATCTAAATTTTAATCAACTGAATCAAAGAGAAGAAAATGCAATACAAATAAAAAAAATACAAAAGTCACCCCTCTAAGTTAGGAACGCAAATTTTAAACAGTCTGCTTAACTGCCGTTCAGCCACGTTACTAAATGACCGATTAATCATGAAACAATTTAAATAAAGTGGAGCTTTTTTTTTATCATGCTGAAAAAATTATCTGCAATCTTTTTAAAATCACTGACACTTTGTGTTTAGGAACCAACAGATAAAGTAAACACCAGCTTACTTGAAATTTACATTTAACAGCATAAGATGTTGACTTCACTTAAAGAACTGCTATATAATTTACATTTCAAGTTTACTGACATTTACATCATCTGTTCTTTAAATTCCTATGTATGCCAGCTGATGTCACAGTGAACATTAAGTACACACACTAGTGTAGCAGGACGAGTTACTCAGTGAACATGGCTCTAGATTTAAAGAAAATAAAATACCTTGAGAGACCTCAAACTGTGCATGTGCTATGTGGACAAAAGCAAAGCCTTTGCAGTTGGATCTCGCAACTATGAAGTGGTCCTCTGCTTCATCTGGGTCTTCAATCCTACAGATGAAAAATAAATGACAATACACTGAAACCTGAAAGTTCTTTAAAACTTAAAGTCAAAATCTGCTTTTCTTAACTTTCACTCCACATTACTTTACTTGAGTTATGTTTGTACACTCTGGGTGTGTTTGAACTAATTTTGGTGTGTCTGCAGTGTTCACCAAATTTAATTTAACACCGTATAAGACCTTTTTCAACAACACATACAACATCAGTCTTGCTAAAGGATTTTCTTAGAGTAAAACAAATACTTGGCTTGACTGATTAGAGACAGACTATCTTTACAGCCATACGACAGAAATGTAGGAAGTTTCATCCAAACTTACCCTTTCAGTTCTGCGTATCTGACTAGTATTCTGGCATAGCTGGCGTTTTTGCTGTACTGTCTGATTGGCAGCCTGGAAAAGACTTTAGAATAACAGTCCTTGAGCTTATTAAGGACACTGATGTCTGTGCGAGGGTTTCCTCTTTTCTCCAGGCTTGTCAGGTACGTCCAACACGACTCAGGAGACTTGGAACTGACGACTTGATCGAAATTGTAAGTTACATCTGCCAGAGAAAAACAACATGCCATTAAATAGGAAGTGGGCCGAAAGGTCTATTGCACACACAGCACACAAGTATATCATTGTCTGCTGAACACACTGCAGGATATTTACCGTGGTATTAAGTAATATAGTACCTTCTAGTCTTGAAGCGTCCCTTGTATCATGTGTATGAAGAAGTGTGGTGGTGGAGTCCACAGTTGCATGGTCCTCCCAAGGGTAGTGCTCCGGACTGAGAGCTGGTGGCTGAAAACACATCAAGACAATTTACTTTTCTTTCTTTAGCTCAAAACAAACATCTTTGCAAAACAGAACACCAGTAATGAAAACCACTGAACAAGATTTCTGACGTGTACAGGCTCAAACCAGCTTATTTGTACTCACTTGAACAGTTTTCTTTGAGGAGGATAATCCAAATGCTGAGTTCACATTTGAACCAGATGTTTGCCTGCGACAAAATTTCACAAAGTGAGCATCAACAACACGTACAAGTCTTGGAGAAAAAAAAAACAAAAAACATTTGATTGACATAATTAAGAATTTGCATGCAAAGCAGCGGAACAGTTAGATTAACTAGATTATAATCGTATCATAATTCAGTACATTTTCGTGTCTGATTTTTCAGCTGTGGTGTACAATATAAGACAAAAAAGTGACCTCAGCTTAATAAACAGCATCACATGTTTACCCTTAGAGGTCTCCCCAGTCTTAATAATACTAATGCTTTTGTTTATTATTACCTGAGGCTACAAGTTTGAAGAGATCAAACACAACTACTGACTTTTTGTACTGAAAAGTGAATAAAATATTTAAATTAAACTTATGATTCACTTTTTAACCATTTAAAATAAAATACGGGATTACTGCGGCACATACATTGGACAAACACTTTATTAGGAACACTCTAATAATATTTGGTAGCATCTCCCTTTTGTGATTCTGGTCCATGTTGGTGTAGATTTGTCACTTGTTAATCCCTCCAAAAAAATCAGCATCACGTTTACTAATTCAAGTAATAGAGAGATAAATGTGTTTTTGGGGTGTGGTGCATTATCCTGCACGAAATTGCCATAATAAGATGATAACTGTGACAATAAAGGGATGCAGATGTTAGCATCAATACTCAGATAGGCTGTGGCATTCAGATTGTGATTGGTATCAGAAGTGATGGACACAGTGTTTTCTACTATTGTTTCCGAAATCAAAATTGATGAAGAACCTGCAGGTTGACGAAATAAGTAATGTTAAGGATGTGTATGACTGATACTGTTAACGTATTCATATTTAATCTTGTGATAAAACTGTTTCCATGTAGCTTGGCATAATCAGAATCAACACCATTGTCAATATATGCTATAATAAATACCTGGACAAACTAGTGGGAATTGTTGCATCCCTTCTTGTGGAGGGCTTCTGATTAATGTGGTCATCATCATCATCCTTTTCTGGAATAGAGAAAGGAACCACAGGAACTCTCCCTGGCTGTAAAGCAAAAGGTTGAAGCACAACTTTAAAGACCATTTTATAAATTGTTTAATGCAGCAGGATGAAACGTACCATGCCAACTGCTCTCTTGCGTTGAGATCCTGATCTCCAGCCAGGTAGCTGCTCATCTGATGATCCACTGAGGGGTTCCATCCTGAGGGCCACAGAACACAACATGTCAGATACTCTCACTGAAAAATGAAGCCTTTTTAAATGTGGAAAGGTGCTTTATTCTTACCCTGAACTAAAAATACTGGAGAGCTGCAAGTCACCTGTCCCATCTGATATTCTGCTTACTTTTTGGAATTCTGAGCCTTTTTTGACAGAATCGTGCACATTACTGTTGGGTAATACTGGCAGAAAGGAAACAGAAAACATATAGATAAGTAAAGCATGACTGGTGAAAATGGTTTCAGTTACAGTTCTGCTGGGTAATAAACACTAATTATGTGACTTTTTAAACTGCTGAACCTCAATCAAGCAAACCAGCTGCATGTACACATCAGCAACAACGTTTAAACCACCATCAGGCAAAGTAAATAGCATTGATCATCTTGTTATAATGCAATGTACTGTTGGGAAACCATGGCTGCTGGCATTCCTGTGGATGTTGGCAACAGCACTCCTGGACACCAGCAGCCTCCCCAAGCAGGACAATGCGAGCTGTAAGCCTGGCCACAAAATTCCCCAGATCTCAACTCAGCTGAGCATCCAGAAGATGTGCTGGAACAAGACAAATCCACAATCTAAAGGAACCAACATCATGCTAAAAGATTTACTGTAAAACACCACAGGACATCTGTTATGTCCCAAGACCATGCCCTGACGGTTCAGATCTGTTTTGGAGCCATGAGAGGTACAATATATACACAAATGTTGTGGCTGATTGGTGTGTGTGTGTGTGTGTGTGTGTGTGTAATGCCAACAGGTAAACCCTGAATAAATGCTCACATGGAAGATTTTCCTTGTCCTCTGAACAAAGTGGTTGTGTTTTTCCCGTCTGCATGCTCTGCAAGGCAGCCTCCAGCAGCTCCTTTGGCTTGGCACCCACTTCAATTGCATTCTGCAATATATAAGCGCTTCTCTTTGTGTTTCCTGGTAAAGCATATAGCCGACATTAAATATCCTTAATGACATGTCATGAGAATGTGTACATATTCACAAGAATAACAAATAACACATCTTTCTACCTCGAGAATGCTCGAACTGTGCATGTGCAACATGGACAAATGCAAAGTTCTGGCTGTTAGATCTTGCCACGTTGAAGTTGGCCTCTGCCTCGTTGACGTCTTGAATTCTAAAAGACACAATCAGGAAACAGACTAATGTTCACATCTGTATATAATCCAAGAGGATTTATAGAATTTTAGATATCAAATCTACAAATAAGCAAACATTTCAAACAAGAAACAACTTTGCTATACAAGTAATAACATGTACTTACGCTTTCAGCTCTGCAAATCTGACCAGCATTCTGGCATAGCTCTCATTCTGACAATGTTTTCCCAGAGGCATATTAGAGAATACTCTGGTATAACAGTCAATAAGCCTGGTGAGGTGGTTATGATCCAAGTGAGGGTCCCCCTTCTTCTCCAGGTCCATCAAATATGAGAGGCATGATTCAGGCAAGTTGGAGCTGATGACCTGATTAATATTGTCCGTGTCATCTGAAACAAATGCAATCTGTAATGATGACTGTATGAAGCACAGACAAACAGATACTGATGGATATAAAGCTTACCTTCGTTGAGATACTTTTTAATTTTGTTGAGCTTTTGATAAAGCATGGCAAGTTGCTGCTTTCTGTCTGTATGTTCCTCTTCCTCCATCTAAAATGAAGGGGTAGATAAATACAAAAAGTATATTAACCCAAATAAGGTTATGTGAAATATACAGTTGAGAAACATGTAAATTTAATAATAACAACACTGTCATTGTTGGGCGTGGCTGTCATGGCTATAGCCTCAAATATTTTAAAAATATGTATTAGCAGGTGCATGAGAGCGCACCAGTTACTGGGCTTGTCATTCTTGTCATCTCGTAGTAACCAGTTAACTAATTCAACACAGCAAGAATGGGGCGTTGGATATGAGAAGGATGAAAGCAACAAAGTGCAGACAAGGCTAAATGAGGCAGAGGACTTTATAGGTGAACTTTCCCTTCTAACCAGCACCTACATCTCTTCTTCTAGACTGGTTAAAGAATCAGTCAGCCAAACTGCAGATTATTATTAATCTATAAGATTTACTAATCCCACGCAGCTTTACATATGATTGTAGCTGCATAAATCGTCATAAATAAGCCTGAACCCAAGGCACACAGCTGGAGAACCACGGGTCAACAAGCCTGCTTTCACTTTAACATTATTGTCAATCACATTCTGAGCACAGTGCGATGACTTTACTTTGCAGAGAGCACAGTGTCGCTCTATTTATACTCATTTTTACTCTAAAATACCTTGAAAACTGTGCAATAATCAGGCCAAAATCCGGAGACTGCTCGGGTGGGCTGAGCCCCAGTGTGTCGAGAGCTTAACAACGCCCCTTGATAATAACATGACACATTTATTAACGGCTAGTGATCCCCATAACTCCTGACCCCATGAGCTACTCTCAAACCAGTAACTTTATAATGTGGTGACATTTAACGTCTCAGCAAGGACGTGGTGATTTGAGAAACCGCTCTAATGAAAATATAATGTTATTGGTTCGTTACTTTACCACAAAGTTGTACTGTTTGAAAGATGGCTCTCACTCTGACGAGAGGTACTGACAACTTTTCTGGAGATGCCCAATATGTATACTTGCTGATAAACAAGAGAGAATCTCTTTGGCGTGTTCAAAACTGATTAGAAGACACTAGTGTTCCTTTGCAAAAGTATTTACTCTCGTTTCTACGATCTGCGTTAGCTCAGTTAGCTAGATAGCTAACATTTAGCAGTGTTGTGAGCGATAACTAGGCTAGCGAGCAAATTGGTTCCTTTGTGGACCACGCAAACTCGAGTTAAATTGAACGTATGACAAAACACCTTCAATGACATACAAAATACAGTACAGCTATTCAAAAGCATCTTACCTTGTTAATGCTGTCATTAATCCCTTGTGCACGGAATTCTTCCTCTGGTGGGATTTTCCGCAGACAACAAAACGAAAAAAAAGGCTCGAAGTCAACTGCCAGTTTTCAAATATGCCACTTCCGCTCAAGATGTGTATTGATTGGGTAGTTTGTGATGACATCATGGTGCGTTGGGATGAAAAACGGCTTCATTCATTCTCGAAATTTTTATACATTAGTGTAAATGTAAAAAAAATGTTAAGAAATAATTTATATTTATGTATTTGATGCATAAATAGATACCTTATGATTACTTTTAGTTTGTCTCTTGAATGTGTATAAAATGATAAAGACAAACCTACTGTAGTTTGTATCAGTAGAGCCTTGCATTCATTACCTACCCTGTAATCGCTAATTCAAAGAGGAAGCTTTGTGTTATTCTATAAGTGTACTTACATATGAATATAAATGTTCACCTATGGAGCGGAAACCAGTTCAAATGTTTACAATCATATGTTGCGTTCCCATTTTCCAACAGCACCTGAATGCAGCAGTATCACGCTGGCACTTCCCTGTTCCTGCTCCTCCCAGTTCAAAGATGGCAGCCATGGGACAGAGACGAGCGACGACACAAATTTAGGAGTTTTGTCATGAAACCGTATTGGGATGTAAAGCTGTTACATGCATGGTTTTGACATGACAGCGATATAATTTGTCTCTGCCAATGTGTCACCTTAGGAAGACTTTTAAAGGGTTAAGAATTATCATGTTTTCGTGTGGGCTAAGCTAGCAAGCAACGGTTAGCAAATAAATGAACTTGTCTCTTCTGCCACACAAGAAGAAAGCAGTTGCCCTGCATACGGTCTATTGACACCTTGCAAGGTGAGTATGTATTTATGTGAAAGCTAAGGTGTGCAACACCCAAAATGAGAATAGAGTTAGGTTGTTTTAACGTAACTAAAATCCTGGTAGAACTTGTATTATCTAACGTTAGCCTTAGCTCGGTCTTGTTCTGTAATTAGAAACACATAAGCCGGGTGGTATTCTAATAAGAGGTTCGTGTCTGGGCTGTCCAGATTTTGAATACCATGACCGGTTATTGGAACATAATGTTCATACACGCTAACACATGTCTGTATAATGACTAACTTCTATCCAACGTGTCAATTTCATGTTACCATGCTTATATACTGTTCTGCTTAAGACGTGCTTAACTGCACAGTCTGGTGTAGTAAAACAAGCGACTCTTTGCTCATTGTTGTAAACTCATATACACAGATATGTTCCTCTTTTCTTTCCCACCAGCTCAATTTCATCATGGCCATCACTCAGTTCCGTCTGTTCAAGATCTGCACATGTCTAGCCAGCTTACTGTCCTTCTTTAAGAGGTTGATATGCAGGTAAGCACAAATGAATGTTCAGTTAATACAATGTCAACTACCACATATGGATGCCATTTCATTTATAGAGATCTTATTAGGTGACACTACTTTCCTTATTTATAAACATTGATATATCTAAAGACTGAGCATCACGCTTTTACGAAACATGGCAGGATCCACCAGTGAAGTTTACATGGATTTGCGCCACAACTAGATACCTTTACACACGTATGCTGAAATAGCATTGGAAAGTAGGTACAGATGGGTGACAAATGAAAGGACAAGCCTGAATAGGTCATATGCCACAAATGCAGGTGCTTCCTCACACATGCAATACATGGTTAAAATAAGCAATTACCATCCAGTCATTGTTTGTATAAAAATGGCAAGCAGGCTCAGTGAATTCTGATTTTGTGCTAACAGGGCAAAAGGAAAAGATTTAAGAAACTTTGAAAGAAGGTTCACTTTTTGTGCAGGGAATGTCAGCCTCTCATGCTGCTCTACTGACTAGTGTTTCAGTAGGAACAGTGGCAAAAGTGACATCTGCGTTCAGTCTATGGAAAAGACATCTTTGTGGTCAACAGTAAACATTTTATGACCCTGGTGCTTGTGCATTAGTGAGACATGTTAGGTTAAAGAGAGTAGCAGCTTTTGTTCAGGTGACTGAGAATGTTAATGCAGGATGCAATCAGACTTGTCAGCCAGAACAGTCTGTCAGCAACTGCGTAGAAACTAATATTAACATAGGATTGCAAGTGCATACACTCCAAAGATAAATGCATATTTGGGAGTATTGTGAAGCAAAAACCATTGTCACTGGTTCACAAAAATATAGTAAAAAAAATTATGTGGTCAGTTAAGTCATGCTTCAGCATATATATATTTTATTTATTTATTTATTTATTTATTTTTTAAGTGTTTGAGTGCATGTGAGGTGTTCACCGGGAGAACAGTGCCTTGACTCCAACAGTTAATGGATCTGGTGGCTCTGTCACACTGTGGGGACATTTTGCGAACATGGTTTGGATCTATTTATCCTTTTCGAGAAAAGAGTCAATGCAAATGAATACAGTGTTCAATACAAAGTTGTCCTGAATAATCACAATTATCCTATGACAAAGCATGCCTACCGAGATGGGAGGGCTCTCTTCCAGGATGACAATGTTCTTTTCCATAGGTAATGAGGGCTTACTGAATGGTTTGATGAGTTTGAAAATGATGTGAATCAAATGCTATGGCCTTCAGAGTCACTAGATCTCAACTTAGTGAACACCTATGGGATATTTAAACCTACATGCCAAATGTGGTAATATCTTTTGCAAGAAAAGTGTTTAGCCCTCCAGTAAAGTTCAGGAAACTTAAAGAATCAATGCCTTGGTGCATCTGGTGGTACGTGGTGTCCTAACACCTTACTGAGACAATTTATGTTGGCTTTTCCTCTATTTTGTCACCCGTCTATAGATTTTGGTTTATGTTCTAAGATGTGTGCATTTGTAATGCTTTAAGAAAAAATAAGTTTTCCAACTTTTGTTTAAATATTGCATTAATTCCTTTTGACTTTATGTTTTACCTATTTTACTTATATTTACAGGAGTGGAAGGGGCCGCAAACTAAGCGGTGATCAAATAACTCTCCCGACAACAGTGGATTTTTCATCATCTGTACCAAAACAGGTCAGTATTGTGTTAGTTATCAGCACCCTGACAAATTCAGAGGCTAATGTTCAGTATTTGTAAAATTTTCATGTATGCTGCTGTCAATTTACACACATAGATTTGATTTCAAGTTGTATTTTGTTATCTAGTCTGCACAGCCAGAGATTGAAGAATGGAGCTCTTGGGATGAAGAGGCTCCTACAAGTATTAAGATTGAAGGTGGCAACGGGAATGTTTCCCCTTCACCCAATGATGCAGATGAAGAGCCTGACTACTTCAAAGACATGGCTCCCACCATCAGGAAAACCCAGAAGGTATGGTCATAGACAGTGCAGCGAAAGTCTCAGAAACGGTATTGCCAAACAGATGCCAATTAGATGACACACTCAAAATCCTGAGTACATATTTTAGAAGTTGGTGACGTGTCTCTCTGGCAGTGTATTGCATTGGAAAGCTGTCTTTGTGGATTAATGAATTACGACAAATTTCACCTTTGTGCATTTAATAGAGACGTAACCTGTTACACGCTTGCCCTTGCTTTGCAACCAAAACAGAAGTATAATAAACTTACTAGAAACACAGGGACACCTCTAGAAAATTGTTTGACTGGGGCGATAAGTCACCCAGGTCTTGAAGAATCTTGTCTTGTTGCGGATTACAATAGCTCCGTAATAAGTTTACGGCTATTGTGATGTGAAGTGCAGTTTAACTGGTGGAACTCGGTTTAGCACAACTGCCATGGTACACTATGTTCACCTGTGTGTGTATCCGTGTTGTCAGAATACGAATCACAATTACTTCGCGCTGGGAAATTTCTTTGTAACAGCTGCCCAAATAAGTGGAAGCTGTAAAATTACACAAGAACTTCAACACAATACAAGAAAGCACTGGGGTGCATGGTCTGGAATTTTGCCAGAACAGACTGGATAGCGACAAGGACCACCAGCATCATTCCAAAATTGGAAAGACGGAACAGCCATGGGTAGAGATGGGGAATAGTTGCTACATGAAAAATAAGCCACGCCTGGTGTGTGGGCACACTTTGGCTCAGTACACCACATACAGTACTACATGCAAATACTGAAGAAAAACGCTACCAGTTTGTTTCAGTTTCTAATATACAGCCATGTCGCAGAATATGTTGAATTTCTTGTCAAGTAAAATGTCGATTTAGAAAACTCTATGCCTAATTTGGAAACTTTTTTGACACAACTGTCCATTACAGGTGAATACTGAGGTGAATGTGACAATTCATTACGATACTTTATTTTAGGTTGCCCAGCCATACTCTGAGATACCGTAAATGCATAAATTAACAACTGTTCTGAAATGCTCAGGATGTGCCCACTGATGTTCCAGATCAACAACCTTCACACCAGCCCAAATGAACCATGCTAACTGTGCAAATGAACTTGAGTTTGTTTTAACTCAACCTTACAGGTTAGATGTGAAATCACAAACTCACACTGTAGATACGCAGGCTATTTGTCACTTTGCAGCTGTGGAAGTTACCTATCATCATAAACTAAGCACACAAGCATTTTACACTCATGAGTGGGCATGCACTGATAAATCTGATGTCAGACATTGGCAGAATGGGAAGACGAAGGCCATGGAGGCGGGTTATATTGAAATCCTGCTATCCAGAAAAGATGTATTTGCATAGCCATCTACCACATACTAGATTGCAGAAAGTGTAATGACTTGCACTTGTTCATCAACTGAAATATCAAGTTAGACCAGTAAATAAAAAGTTAGCCAGCAAGTCTAGTCTAACAGGAATATCGCTGACTGACTGAAATGCTCCCGTCCTCACCTTTTGTTCTTGTTTCCCCGAAACAGTTAACCAACAATATATCATGAAGGGTCACAGTTTAAATCTGAGTTTCTAAGATTTTTCTTGTATTTCCTTATTGAAGATTGTGCTGAAGAAAAGGGAGCCGTTGAACTACCTGGTGCCTGACGGCTCAGCAGGATTCTCCAGCAGGCTGGCAGCCTCTCAGGATATGATGACCTTCACCCAACCCTCAGTGAGTTACATTTTTCTGCTCTGCAAAGAGTATAATATGTAGTTTACACACACACACACACACACACACACACACACAAACAAACAAACAGACTGTATATTACTTTGTGAATGCAGATTTATTATGTGGTACGAAATTGTGGGATTGTTTGATGGTAATCAAAGGAAAGCTAAACTTGTGTCGCTTATTTGACTTGTAAAGAACTTTATAATCAGTTAAAATGAACGAATAATCCTTCATCAAAGTGCATTTAATCCCTGTTAGTTCAAGTCAAATTCTGGTGTCATTGTTGACAGGCTACTGCTAGATAAATTAAAACTTTTGCCAAATTTAATCCACACATGTAATTAGCTAATACACTGGTCAGTAAAGCCTGATTTTTCTTTGACGTTCATGAGAAACTCATATCTGTCCCTGTGGTGCTTGTGCAGGCATTGCAGCCATTGCAATTAGGAGTAAATAACTAAACTAGGACACTGAACTGAAAACTAATAAGAACATGCAACAGAATGACGTGTACATCGTCTTCCATGTAGTCCATCTATGGTATAGCAAAAGGACACATCCAAAAAAGCTGACGTGAAGACATAACACATGAAGTTCAATGCTCTTTATTTCTCTAATTCATGAACTGTAGCTCTTGCAATAGAACTGCTGTAATCATGGTAGCATCCTCATGTGTAATGGGGACCTATTTGTTTGTACAGGCTGAACTGGGAGAAATGGACAACTGGCAGGAGGACACAAATGCATGGGAGGACGAGTCTGATGCTGCCTGGGAGGCAGAGGAGGTGCTCAGGTAATCGGTCAAGAACGCAGCTGTGTACACCAGGACAGTTTGTCAGCTGAACTAACCAGTTTGAATACTGCACTCCCACTTTTACAGTGTAGTGTGGCAGGTCACTCTGAGACAGTTTATGAATGCGTGGAGGGTCAGCAGATTTAAACAGAGGGACTCTAACACTACACTAATGTGTACTATTCCACACACACAGCTGGAGAGCAGTTCTCTGCTAAGCATGCTATTACTCTACTGTGTCTTTACATAAGTTTGCTGCTATATAATAATGTTCAAAATCTTATATACAGGACCTTCAACCATAAGTAAACCTCACTTGAACCCATAGGTATATATACTCGGTATTAATTGACACTGATGTAGAAGGACGTATTTTCAACTTTGTTTTTATTAAGATTTTGTTGAAAGACACACACAGAGTACATGCAGTAAGCTTCCTGGCCACTAAGTAATGATTAAAATGGTCTCTATGTGTTCTGAATAGGTTAACATTAAAGATAAATATTGAGGCTGTTAAAAGGTAAAGTACAGTTTAATTTTACTGTATTGTAAACTCACAATCTTTGCAGTCACACTTAGCTTCAAAAGTGTTTTGAAATTCTCGCAGATTTTACAATTTGGTTGCATTATGCAAAAACAGAAAAACTTCACAGATGTTCTCCCATGATCTCAATCATTTGAAAAGAACAGCACATCACACACTACAGTATATTGTTATGATTTTCAGGCCACAGGGAGCAGAGCAGTGCTCGCCATCATGTGATGTCACGGGGACGCAGGTGTAAACAAAATGACTAACGATAATAATACTTTACAGTGAGAAACAAAAACAGAAAGCTAAATGAATCTGGATGAGAAAGTTGTTGGGACGATGCAGTCAATACAGTTTGTCTATAGCTCGGTAAGAGCTGAAAGGGAGACTTTAACTCGCAGTTAGGGATAGATGTTTAGTATCGTTTGGCAACAGTGTCTTCTGCTCCAGGAGATTCCTTCATAATTTCTTCCATCCTGATTTTAAATTAGAAATATCAAACATATTTGATATTATTCAGGGCAGCCCTTATGAACCTGTGATCAGTTTTGGAGGGTTAAGACTGGATCTGTAATCTCCTCACATTATCAAATAATCTGGACTGAATATCAGTTCAGACATCAGGTCCAAAACCAGATTTCTCCGTTGATTGTCAGGAGGAGTGAAACAGGAGTTTTGTCAATAGTTAAACATCTGTAGATGTCATGGAAATGGAAAAACCTGTTTTCTCAAATAGATTCCTCTTGCAGGAGGCATTCTCTGTTGCACGTGTCTGACAAAAGACTGCAGACAATGAAACAGTAAGAGGGAAAAAAGGAGAGTTTAAATGTACACAAGGTTTCCTTTTTGAGTGTAAGTTGGTTTCCACTGCAGCGCTCTGACATAGTAAACTATGTTTCCTAGCAAGTTTGGCACAAAGAAGAAGCTCCATTACTGATGCATGCACTGTTTTTGTGGCTTTACAGTAACAGTGCATGTAAAAATGTTGTCCATCTACTCTTGTAACCTGGTTTTTGTGAGCAACCTGGTTACGTTAGTACATGTAAATGCACTGCCTGTCATTTGTCGATATGAGGAGTGTAGATTCATTTCATGGCCAGCAGGTGACAGTGTACACCAGTATTACAACACTGGAGACACAAGGATCAGGGTTTGTTTTCCTCAGTCCCAGCTGACCTAGCTTCTGTTGACATGCTCTGTAATGACATTGCTTAAAACTGCATGTTTCATTTTCCTCCCTTTTTTTTGGCAACAGACAACAGAAAATGGCCGAGCGAGAGAAGCGGTCCATGGAGCAGCAAAGGAAAAAAATGGAGAAAGAGGCTCAGAGAATGATGAAGAAGGAGCAGAAGATTGCTGTCAAGCTCTCGTAACATTTTAAAAATGCTCAGTTTTGAGCCAAAGGGATCGGGGTAGGGTCAAAGACATTAGATCAATCTTTACTCTATCTTTAAAGTCATCAAACCAATCAGGATTATCACCATACACTATTTATCTGTTAGCAAGCTGTCCTTCTTCTCCTTCTGTTTCCACCAGCAGCCATTTTAGTGTGTTTTCCATCTGCAACAGTGTGAAATGCATCAGTCTTGAGGGCAGATAATGCACCAGGGGTAGTTGTACATGTGACAAGGTCATTTTGGCCTTCAAGGGAGAGTTGCATTTATATGATCCAGTTCATCTTAGGTTAAAGGTTAGAAGCAGCTTTAGTAGGTTTAGATTCTTATTCAATCTGTTAGGTAGTGTAGGAAAATGTTCTGTTTTGGTTTTTCCCAGGATTATTTGTAAATAAAATGGTACCTGTGCTACCTTTTGAAACTCAGATAGGCAGTACAATTCCTTTTCTTTGTCTTTTTATGACCTCAAAGGCAAAGGTGTGTAATTTATTTTATGCAATCACTGTATACCAGTGACATCCCTCGGTTTGCTTAATTATTGTGTTTTTATATTTATGTCTGTCACTGTCTGAGAACTGATTTTTTTTTTTCTAATGAATGTTGCTTGATATTTTACAGTATCACCCTGTGCTGTATAGCCCTAATTATTACACTGGAAATCTGCATTAAAATGAAGACTGGAGATTTTCAACATGACTATAGATAAATGACCATAGACTAGAATCTGTCCCAACTCTCAATGCCAGCTGTGGGTTCCTATGGTAATCTCATGGCTATTGATCTGCCATTCATTCTCCTCCTTTGTCAGCACTTGATATTGGTGGAAAATATCCAGTGATGAATGCATTTTGGTTTAGTTTTTTTTTTTTTTTTTT